GGGTTTTGGTTAAACTGGGAGCCCCCCCGGCAGCTGTCAGAGCTGGGGACATCAACAGCCGGGCCCTGGTGACACTGCGGGTCCCTCGGCCACGGGGACATCCTTGGGGGACATCCCTGGGGACATCCCTGGGGACAGCCCGGTGCGGGATGTGACAGGGGCAGACAGCGAGGGGCGAGGCCAGAGGGATCTGTCCAGGGCTGTGTCCGTCTGTCCCGGGGTTCTGTCCATCTGTCCGGGGCTGTGTCCGTCTGTCCGGGGCTGTGTCCGTCCCCCCATGGGTTCTGTCCGTCTGTCCGGGGCTGTGTCCGTCTGTCCGGGGCTGTGTCCGTCCCCCCATGGGTTCTGTCAGTCTGTCCGGGGCTGTGTCCGTCTGTCCAGGGCTGTGTCAGTCTGTCCGGGGCTATGTCCGTCCCCCCCGGCGTCGTGTCCATCCTTCCCAGAGGTACTCCCGTCCTTCCAGGGCTGTGTCCGTCCGTCCTGGAGTTCTGTCCATCCCCCCATGGGTTCTGTCCATCCCTCCCGGGGTATTCCCGTCCTTCCAGGGCTTTTCCCGTCCCTCCCGGGGCTATTCCCATCCCTCCTGGGGGTATTTCCCTCCTCCCAGGGTTATGTCCATCCTTCCCGGGGTTGTGTCCATCCTTCCCGGGCCATTCCCATCCCTCCTGGACCATTCCCGTCCCTCCCGGGGCCATTCCCGTCCATCCCAGGCCATTCCGGTCCCTCCCCGGCCGCGTTCCCGTCCCTCCCGGTTCCYCGGGCCCCCCCGCCCGGCCCGGCCTGAGGGAACGCTTAATTCGGGGCTTTATCCGCGAACACTCCCGGGCTAAAAATATCCCGGAGCAGCGGGCGCGGCGTTCCCGGCCCGGAGCTTCCTTTGCCTTTTTTGACGGGATCGCGGCTGGGGCAGCGCCCGGGGGCTGCCGGTCACTGTCACTGGTGGGACACGGCCCTTGGGGACACGGATCCCGGTGACCCCGATCCCACAGACCCCGATCCCACAGACCCCAACTCGTGGCAATTCCAGCCCCCGGGGGACCCCTCGGAATGGAGGAAGGACCGGGGGTGGCAGCTCAGTGGCCGTCAGGTGAGTGCTGTCCCCGCTTTGGGGACATCCCCGTCACCCCGTGCTGTCACCCCGAGGTGCTGCAGAGCGGAGGTGCCACCCCAGCCTGGAAAACACCCCCAGGACCCCCTTGGGACCCCCCAAACCTGGAACCATCACCTCCTTGTCACCCCTCAAACCCCTGTGGCTTCACTGTCACCCCACGGGGCCACCCCAGGCGGAGTTTGTGTCCCCCCGGAGTGTCCCCTTGGCCGGCGGGTGACACCGCACAGGTTGGGGACCCTCGGCAGGTGGCCTTGGGGTSCCCGCGCTGTTCTCAGCCCCCGCGGAGCTTTTCCCGTGGCGGYGGCGGATGTGGGGCAACGTTTGAGCTTTGGGCTGTTGATTTTTTGATATTTTTTTTGAATTTCCTCTTCCAGGCCCGTGAGTTTCCTCCCGCTCGGCTGATGACGGATGGGGGCCGGGCGCGGTGCCGGGGGGGCCGGAGGCCGCTGCCCGCTGGACCTGGCCGGACTTAGGGAGCTGCCCGGCTGCCCCCCGTGCCGGTCAGTGCGGAGGGGTTCGGGATTTGGGGTTTGGGATTTGGGG